CGGGCCTAAGAGACCACCCGGAACATGCTTAAGAGCAACACCGTCCCACCCCCGCATGAGTAATCACGGAAGATTCCCCTAAAGGCAGTTTCCCCAGCGTCAGTCAGTGCCGTCTCATGTTTGAGCAGCCGCTCTGACCTGCTGTCAGAGTGCACTTTCACTTTGCCATTAACTCTCTTGCTTACTTTTACGTTGGACTCACTCTCAAATCTTTTGCCTAGCGAAGTCAAGAACCTGAACTGGCCCACCAGCCTACAAAGCCAGAGCGTGCCCACCACTGCTGTTCTTGCAAGAGATGTGTTTGCAAAACGGGTCACCACAGCCTGAGGGTGAGCAGTGGTGTAGGAGATAAGAATCTGAGTTTTCCGTGCTCTTTCCTATGTGGACAGCTCCGTCTTCAGCCCACGGTCTGATTCTCTGTGGATTTCAGTTTATCTCCTGTGTCCGGGGACAGCGGACTGAATGCAGTGAATTCTTACCTCCAATAATTGTCATCCTGCCGACCTTCCTGTGCCTTGAGGGTTGTCTGTTTTCACTTTCACTGCAGTTGTTTGGCTACTGAATCCACTCCATATGCAACAGACAAGACAGAGATCAGAGATGGAAAAGTGAGAAGTCCACGTGGGAGCAGAGGCTGCCATGGGAAAGGGTGAAGGCTGTTTTTAGGGGTCCCCTTATTCCTTTGGATGAATCTCTTCTTCAGCTGCCGATTTAGGCGACTGCCGATGATACCTGGAAAGGAGGCCTGGGGTTCCCTCTGGGAGGCCCCTCTCATCAGGCCGGAAATTGCTAACAGACTTTCACTTATTTACTTGGGGTCTGAAGGGAATAAACAGCTCACCTGGGACCAACAGGGCAAATGGAACCTACACAAACCAATTGCTTACAGCAGGCAGAGTGTGATGTATTTACAGTCACAGACTGAAGATTTTCCAGTTCTCACCTGTACAGCTAAGGAAAGGTGCACGGCCGCATGTTGAAGCCAAACGTCATTAACATTCCTGCAGAGTTAGGACTTTTAAGAATACTTTGCTGTTTTTGTTTTTTGTTTTTTTTTGTTTGTTTGTTTTTGTTTTTTTTTTTTGAGACAGAGCTTGCTCTTTCGCCCAGGCTGGAGAGTACAATGACATGATCTCGGCTCACTGCAAACTCTGCCTCCCGGTTCAAGCGATTCTCCTGCCTCAGCCTCCTGAGTAGCTGGGATTACAGGCATGCATCACCACACCCAGCTAATTTTTGTACTTTTAGGAGAGATGGGTTTTCAGTATGTTGGCCAGGATAGTCTCAATCTCTTGACCTTGTGATCTGCCCGCCTCAGCCTCCCAAAGTGCTGGGATTACAGGTATGAGCCACTGCTCCCAGCCTTTTTATTTATTTATTTATTTATTTATTTAAGACGGAGTCTCACTCTGTCACCCGGCTAGAGTGCAGTGGCACGATCTTGGTGCACTGCAACCTCCACCTTCCGGTTTCAAACGATTCTCCTGCCTCAGCCTCCTGAGTAGCTGGGATTACAGGCACGTGCCACCACACCCAGCTATTTTTGTATTTTTAGTAGAGACGGGGTTTCACCGTATTGGCCAGGCTGGTCTCAAACTCCTTACCTCGTGATCCTTCCGCCTCGGCCTCCCAAAGTGCTGGGATTACAGACATGATCCTAACAAGCTACTTTTTAAGAAACCGTTTCAGGGAAGAGGGAGAACTGCTCCAGGGTCCTCCCCGTGGGTTACTGTGAATACACTGCAGAACATCTTGATCCAATGAACAGCCGTTCCTGTGTGGTCCTTTGTGCCTCTCCTGTTTTAATTTTGTTTCAAAAATCTTGAGTGTGTGAGGGCCTTGGAACTGATTTTTGTTGTTGTTCCAGTGAAATTAGCACTGTAAACATAGCACCTGCATGAGAGAAGAGCAGCGTCTCGGTGGCCTGATATTAATACTTTGGGCAGCTCAATGCTGATGGTGGTGTGGGGGACCAGGGGGCTGCCAACCTACCCCTTGGGCACCCTGGGAAGGCGCAGGGACCACAAGGCGGCCAGCTCCTGGCAGGGGAGACTGTGTGGGCCGCGGTGCAGGCAACAATCATGCCGGGAATGGTCAGGATGGCACCAGCTTGTTGGATTTTTTTGTTGGCATTTGTGTTTGTTTCTCTACTCACCACCCAAGTGATAAAATAGGATCCTTGGTGCAGAACTTAAATTATCCCAGAAAGCCAAGAGTTCCCTGCCTTGGGGACTTGTCTTAAACTCGCCTGGTTTGTACGTTTCTGGCCGGACGCATGAAGAAGCATCTGTGACAAGTCTGAGGGTCTTCCTTTCAGCCTGCCTCCCACGCTAAGAAAAGTTGGTGTTTCCCTCCCGGAAGCTATTGTGAATTTCTCTTTATCTGGGAACTGTTTTGGTTTTGTTTTTAGTTGCTCTGTGCTCCCTCTGAATCAAAGCTTCTAGCACTGCCGGTGAAAACCACAAAGGGTCCTGCTTGAGGCGCCATCCTGGCCAAGAGAGCAAACCTGCAGGAGGTTTGGAAATGGACTCGGTCTCTGCAGAAGCGTGTGCACTATTAGGGATGAACCGTGTCACAGCCAGAGGCACGAAGCTCATATTGTAGGTGATCCAGGAGACGTGAGTTCCCAGAGCTCGTTTGGCGCATTCATGTGCACACTGTTGTCGGGGTTGGACTTGTGTTTCAGGCTTCGATGTGAGGCTTGTGATATGCATTTCCTGTTTATCAATAAAAAAATTATCGAAGTGATTGAATCCTGTGAGTTGGCAAATGTGTACTAATCCAGTGCACTTGACTCTTCAACCCCTTCTTTCAATATCATTTTTATAAGAAATAGGTAACCTACATGACAACTCTAAAAATAAAATAAATTGGGCGAGGTCCTAAGTAGGAAAATCAAACCAAACGGAAACAGGACACCTGGAAATCTGAGGCTTTGCTGTGCTTTTCCGTATTTCCCAATTGTCCCAACAGTGAGCCGTCTTTTTTGTTTGTTTGTTTGCTTTCTTGCTCGTTTGATAGCCAGGTCAAAATAAGGTAAACAAATATGAAAATAAGTAAATAAATAATAAACTAAAGGCAACATAAAGCCATAAAGATAAGGCTGGGCTCACAAGCGCCATCCTCCCCAGGCCCCACCCGTGCTGGTCTGGTCGGAGTTCACCCTGGAGAGGAAAGGCTGCCCTGAGGGCTGGGAGATGAGACCCACAGCCTCTGTGCCAGGAGACACAGGTCTGGGAGGGAGCAGAGCAGAGGGAGGGAGTTGCATCTCGGAGGGACCCCTCTTCCTGGAGGACCCTGGCAGCTCACAGACCTTTCCAGACCCAGATGGAGGCTGCAGAGGGGGCTCTTCCTGGTGGGTAAGAGAAGCTGGATGCTGCATGAGCTTCCCAGGGCTGAGGGAAGGGCAACTGGAAGCAAAGGAGGGGAGGAGGCTGGGGCCGTCCCCATCCAGGGGCACAGCTGGAAACTCCCAGAGCAAGGGTTGGGGAGAGGGGAGGAGGCAGGACCCTCTGCAGGACTTTGACGAGGTCACACACCTGGAAATGTCTTACCCCTAGACACAGCCCTGCACAGACCCACAGATGTGGTGTTATGCTCACTCAGGCATACACACACGCACACGCACACACACACACACACCATGCATTTCTATCCACGTCCAGGTGCCAGGACCTTGTACCTCCACCCTGAGGTTCCCATACTGACTTTCCCGTGGGTGTGAATATTGGTCTCTGTCATGTTCTTGCTGTGTGATTTTGGGCAAGTAACTTCACCTCTCTGCACCTCCGAATTTCTGCATCTGCAAATGGGGTTAAAGTATGTGTCTTGCTTGGCTGCTGGGAGGGTTAAAGGTAACCCTGTCATAGTGCCTGGCATATAGTCGGTGTGAAATAAATTACTATTATCATCCGCATTGTTATACTATCCCCTGGTAGGTAGGCCAGCAGTGCCAACTCCTTCCTCAGCTTCACCTGGCGGCCTCCTTCCCCCACACAATGGCATCGTCTTACAGCGCCCTCGGAAATCTTTAAAAGTATGGAGATGTTGAGGACTCTTGGTGCAGAGGTGAAGCCCCCAGACCATCTCCTCCACCTCCTAGGGTCCCACGTGGGGAGGGATTGGGCTTGGACTTGGTGGGAAGTTGGGCATCTTCACTTCCCTCTACCCAGGACTCTCCCGTGTTTCTTATGGACCTGAGATGCGACTTCTTCCCTGATTTCTCCCCATAGGGCACATCAGCCTCCATGACTGTCCACCCCAGACTTAAGGACAAGACCAGAAGGGCAAGCAGGTGAGGAGAAGGTGATGGAGAAGGGCTGGGGGTCTCCACAGGACCTGTGAGGCTGGAAAGGGTCCAGGGTCTTTCTGGAAAGGACTGGCAAGGGAGGGACCCAGCCCAGTCACACCAAGGTCTGGAGATGGGGGCTCCTGGGGGAGGTCTGCAGACCCAATCGGGGCCCTGGGGATGAAATCATGGGCAGCATGGTCATTGGAGGCTCTATCCACTGATCAGAGCTATGCAGGCTGGGGCAGGCCATGCGCAGAGCTGGGCTGTAATTTCAGGCGCCTCCTTTCTCCGCTCTGGCATGTCCAGGTTCTCAGATTCCTTCACCAGAGGCCATGGAGTCCACAGAGATGCTGCGAACTTATGGCTAAGGGGTGCCCAATCAGTGGTTGCTTTACTCAGTGCCAGGTGAGAGAAGATACCTCAGAATCAGGCAGGGATTAAATTCCAGCCCTGCCCTGAGAACCTGAGCGACCTGAACGCAGCCCCAGTGAGGCTCCCTCACCCGGATGCACCATGGAACCATCAAGTCAGCACGATTAGCATATGCATCAGCTCAAATATTTATCTTTTTTTTTTTTGTGACAACATTTAAACTTCTCTCTTTTAGTTATTTTGAATTATTCAATACATGACTCTGTCATTTGAAACAACACAGATGAACTTAGAGGATGTTATGTTGAGTGAAATAAGCCAGGCACAGAGAAACAAACACATTACGATCTCATTATATTTGGAATCTAAAATAGACATCCTCAGAGAAGTAGAGAGGAGAATCATGGGTACCAGAGGCTGGGGCGGGGAGTGTGGACTGATTAGATGGGGAAAGGCAGGCATGCATTTTCAGTTAGACAGGAGGAATAAGCTCTGATTTCCTGTTGCACAGCTTCGAGGGCTGTTAATTCTACAGGAATCGGCCTCGGACTCCTTTACTGGAGGGGTTGCGAACCCTCAAACAAGCCCAAGTCTCTGCAGTTTCTCACTTGGGGATCTTGATCTCCGAATACTCATTGTTGGTGGCCTCTTGTCCCCACAGGTCCTGAGGCCCCACCTTATGGAAGCTGAGGGATGCATACTGGATCTCTCCTTCCTCCCCTGAGGAGGGAGCAGCCAGGCCATGGTGTCGGGGGCTGTCGTCTGCCCAGGACTCAATCAAGGTACCCTGAATGGAGAGAGAGAAGGGAGTCAGAGCAGAGCAGTGGAAATAGGATAAGGCAGGGAGAGTCACAAGTTGTTTGATTGGTTGATTGGTTTGGACATATCGCTCTGGATACAATTAAACTTCATGAGTTCCTGCCTCTATCCCATGTTCATATTATAGAAATCTCCTTCATTTATACTTTCCTGCAATATTTAACCCTTAATGAGCACCTCGTTTTGTGTTTATTAATCTTATTAACTTCACACAACAACCCCATGAAGAAAGTAGCGTGCCCAAACTCCCTGTTATGCCAGGACCCAATCCAGTCCATCCCTTCTGACCCCAAAGCCTGGAGTCCTGCTGAGGCCCTCTGTATGGGAGGCCCTGAGCCACGTGCTGGATGGACTGCGGTGGACACAGTAGTGTTGGCCCTGACCTCCTGAAGCTCACTTTTTAATTGAGGGAAGTTGGCAAAATGACTGTCAAACAAATGAATATCTATGTGTGAATTATAAGATGCGCAGGAAGAGGGTAAGTGAGAGAGAATCACAGGGTCTTGATTTGGATGGGGCCCCTGCCCTTAGGAAGCTCACAGTTTGGTGGTGTGGGGAGGACAAGTCAGTCAAAGAAATTATCAATGATAGAATGGATAAAGAAAATATGGTACCTATACACCATGGAATACTGTGCAGCCATAAAAAAGAATGAGATTGTGTCTTTTGTGGGAACATGGATGGTGCTGGAGGCCATTATCCTTAGCAAATGAACACAGGAACAGAAAACCAAATACTGCATATTCTCACTTATAAGTGAGAGCTAAATTATGATAACTCATGAACACAAAGAAGAGAACAACAGACACTGGGGCCTACTTGAGGGTGGAGGGTAGGAGAAGAGAGAGGAACAGAAAAAAGTAACTATGGGGTACTAGGCTTAGTACCTGAGTGACAAAATAATCTGTACAACAAAGCCCTGTAACAAGAGTTTATGCATGTAACAAACCTGCACATGTACCCCCAAACCCAAGATAAAAGTTTTATAAAAAATCTGTCACAATTACTGAGATTTTTGGCACCTTCTTAAATTGTGTACGCTAGGCTAGGACCTCACTCATCTCACGCTAATTCCAGCCCTACTGGAGAGATAGATGTTTAAGAGACGAGAATGTGCAGGGCTGCAGTTATAAAGTTTGGGCTTTTTCTCTAGGTTAGAGCTTGTCAAACTAGAGCCCTTAGGACAAATTCAATCCACTGCTTGTTTTTATAAATAAAGTTTTATTGGCACACAGCCAGCTCACCATTTACACATGGTCTATGGCTAATTTCCTGCTATAAGAGTAGAGTTGAGGAGCTGCAATGAGACTGTGTAGCCCAGAAAGCCAAAAATATTTCCCATCTAGCCTTTCCAGATAGTGTTTACTGGCTTCTGCTCTAGACAGTGTTGGAAGTGGGAACAGCCATCCAAATGCAAAGAAACTGGTCAGTGATGGCTTCTGAACAATTCCTCCCATCAGGGCAACAGGCAGGGAGGTGAGGAGGTCCAAGACAGAGATCCTCAGTCCTCAGCATTGAGAGGGTTTAGGATTCTTGGGGGTGGGAGCAATGCTAGCCATTCTTAGGGAGGAAAAATGCACAAGATTTGGTGAATGTGGGGCCATAGAGAAGAAAGGGAGGACAGAGAGGAGAAAACTCTTTCTCCATGCCTGGCCTGAGAGAAAGTAGGTAGGAGGGACTGTCATGCAGTTAGCAAGATGGGGAATCCTGCCGGGTCCTTTTATGTATGTTTGCTTTTCTTCACTTCCCAAGGCTGCTAAATCTCTAGCCAGCGTCTGCCTTTTTGGGGGGGAAGGGGTGGAGGTGAGGTGAGGTGGGGACAGAGTCTCACTCTGTCACCCAAGCTTGAGTGCAGCGGCATGATCTTGGCTCACTGCAGCCTCAACCTTCTGGGTTCAAGCGATTCTTCTGCCTCAGCCTCCCTAGTAGCTGGGACTACAGGCACCCGCCACCATGCCTGGCTAATTTTTGTGTTTTTAGTAGAGATGGGGTTTCACCAGGTTGGTCAGGCTGGTCCCAAATTCCTGACCTCAAGTGATCTGCCCACCTTGGCCTCCCAAAGTGCGGGGATTACAGGCATGAGCCAATGCGCCTGGCCAGTGTCTGCCTTTTTGATGGTTAAGTATGTTGCTTAGTTACTTTGACCAATCCCATAATTTTAAGTACATGGATAATATGCAGTCCATATGCATGAGCTTTAATGAGCTGATTATCATACAGGGTCAGGTTAAGGATATTTTTTCTCTCTAATGCACATGTCTAGCTCTGAAGAACTGCCCCTTACTGGTTTGGTCCAGATCCTGCTGGCCACGGGGGTCCTTGCTTGCTTCTCTATCTTACTTTTTGTTTTGGCTGCTCAACTTCTGCCTCTTGCTTCTTGCTTACCTGTTCCCTCACCTTGCTTCTGCTCTCTGCTTTTATTTATTCTGCTCTTTATCCAACTTTTAATTCTCTTTGCTATGCTCCTGCCTTATTTTTCTATTCTCCTCCTGCCTCAGAAGGGCTCTGGACCACGGCCCATCTCTTTCCCACAGTCCCCAATTGGCAATTAAAATCAGAAAAAAATGGGAAGTAGAGACTTGAGGAAGCCATAGAATCTGTGGAAAGGAGGAACTTATGAACCATGTATGACCCAGGGGAGCTGACAAGCCCTCTACTCCCACTTCCACAATTTGGAGAGGAAGACATTAAGGTCCACAGTGACAAGTGCTATGGTCTGAATATGTCACCTCAAAATTCCTTTGTTGAAATTTGAATCCCCATGTGATAGTATCAGAAGGTATAATATTTCGGGAGGTGATTAGGCTATGAGGACTCTGGGATTAGTCTCATGGGATTAGTTCCCAAATCTGAGAGACCCAAGGGAATTTGTACAGCCCTTCTACCACATGAGAACATAAGGAGAAGGCACCATCTATGAGGAAGCAAACTGTCTCCAGACACCAAACCTGCTGGCACCTTGGTCTTGGACTTCCCAGCCCCCAGAACCGTGAGAAATGAATTTCTGTTGTTTATAAACCAGTAGTTTACGGTATTTTGTTGTAGCAGCCTGAATGGACAGAGATAGGAAGTGAATTGCCCAAATCACACAGGTCTCCTGGGCCCTGTCTCCTGCGCCAGTGTCTGCCCAGGAGACGCTTAATTAATTTTGTCTGCCCAGGACAGACTAGGCTGGGATGGGGGAAGCTGATGTTACTTGGAGAGTGGAAGAACTGTCAAGTCTCTCACATGAGATGAGGAAAGACATTTCATTCATTCATTCATTCATTCATTCATTCATTCATTCATTCTGTATTCTGATTGTGAGCACCCATGCTGTGCCTTGAGATTTCCAGCAAAGGGTAAGTGTTTGCCCAATCACTCCCTCCCAGGAGGGGAAGCTGCAGCATCTCAGTGGTCAGAAGGGCTGAGCCATGGCTGACAGTGATGTCCTGCGTCTGTCCCGCAGGGCCGGGTGTCCACATCTGAGTTCTGTCTTGAGCAGGAGGAGCTCAGTCAGGCCTCTCAGCCCTGCTCCCCTGGGGGCCTCCACACCCGCAGAGCCAACACGGGCCTCAGATTAGCATCGGCCACTTCAATTCTAACTCAGGCGGGACAGGACAGCTCAGCCCCATCTGGAACTTGGGGGCCAATCCTCAACTTCCCCAGAAAACAGCAGGCCTGCTCACCTAGAGCAGTAGCACCAGGTGAGGCCATAGGTGAAGGGGAAGCCAGTGCCCATGAGGGCCTCTTGATTAGGTGAGAACCAAGGGTTGGGAGACCTCCTGATCTTCACTCACGTGTCTGCACCCAACGGGGCTTCCTGGGAGTGGCGAGAAGAGGGTGAGGTTCTGTTCCTAGATCTAGGCCCCTCTCACAGCCCAACACCTGACCAGGCTGTCTGCCCCAGCACCCGTCTGGAAGCTCCCTCTGCACAGAGAGGCTCAGGGAAATGTGCTGGGAGCCCAGGGGGTGCTGAGCCTCACAGGCGAGGTCCCCTCCACCTCCAGTCCCTTTCTGGGGCAGCTCCAGGGTCCCAGTTGCTGAGAGCCAGGAGAGATTCAGTGTTCTTCCCTCCTGACACCAGCTCAGTGAGGCAGGGGAGTTGTCAGTCACACAGACCAGGCCCAGGGACTGACCCTCCAGGACAGGCAGTGAGGTGCCATTGCTCAGGGTCTTCAGGGCTGAGTGAGGAAGACAGTGAGAGCAGGGAGGGTGGAGCTGAGAGGCTGTCTCTCCCGCAACCCCACGCAAACAGAAAGAGGAGACACCTGACTGTGTGACACATACTCACGAATGCAAATCCAGGTGTTCAGAAAGCTGAAAGACCCCGCAGGGAAAGAGGCTGAGCTGAGACTAGTAGGGGAGTTGGTCATATTAACAGGTGGCTAAGGGCACCTCAGGTGGAGGGGAAAAAGCACAGGCCGTGAGACAGCCTGGCAGATGAAGGGCCCTGCAAATATGTCTGGGGTCTTTCAGGGGGAGATTGGAGGTGCTGGGACATGATCAGCTGAGGAGCTTGGACTGATGGTTCCGGGGAACCAGAGAGATCTCTGAGCAGGGAAGAGGCAGTGTCAGCTCTGGCTGCAGGAAAATTTTTCAGGGCTTGTGCTGTGAGGGCCACAGCAAGGAGGCGAGAGGCTTCAGACCAGGACGTTGGATGGGAAGTGGAGCAATGGTCAAGACCGAAAAGGGCCTGGCCATGCCGATGGAGGGGAGGAGACAGGGAATGGGAGGAGGAAGGGCATGATGGCAGACATTTTTGGGGAAGTGAAGTTTACAGGAACCCCTGACTCATGAGTGGGGTGGTTGAAAACAGGAGGCAACTGGAATAAGTCCTGGTCCTGACTGGGATAACTGGAGGGGGGGGTGGGGAATGGAGACACCATGTCCAAGAAGAGGCTCAAGGGGCAGAAAGTGGGAGAGACATCAGGGCAGGGCTCACAGCTGAGCCACAAGGTGGATGTGCTCACTCAAGAAGCACGTGGAAGGGAAGGGGCAGCTCAGGGAATACGTGTCAGGCACTTTCCTGGGGCTGTCTTATCACAAGTTCCCTCAGTGTGGGAGGAACTGGCCTGAAAAAACAAGAGTACTCCCAACAGGAAGCCAGTGGGTAGGGGCAAAATGGTAATCACTCACGTAAATGCAACTTCAGACTTATGGGTGCCAGAGGTGGGAGGTTTCTGGAGATGAGCGTTTTTCCCTTCCCGTCCATGTAGATCTCAGTGAGGAACAGAGAAAGCAAAAAACTCCCCAGAGTCACCCCAGCCGATGTGTCTTTCGTACTTGAAAGAGTTTATGAAACACTGGAATTATTTCTGCCTTGCATATTCAGAAGAACTTGCCACTTAATTTTTTTTTTTTGCCTAGAAAATAACATTTGCTATTCAATCAGCTTTGTTATGAAACCACGGTCTTCTCCATAGGTAGCTCACAACATGACCTCCAGCTTCATCAAAGTGAGAAAGCAAGAGACAGCCAGAGAGAGAATGAGGCACAAGTTAGTCTTTTATAATGTGATCTTAGGCAGAACATTAGCAAGCAAGTTCACAAGACCCACGGCCACCCCGCAGCTGATGCACACCACGTTCAAGAACTCCCATCACCCACGGCCACCCTGCCAAAATGCTTTGTCAGCAACCCCTATTGGACCGTTGTTGCCAGTGGACCCCGAACACCTTGGTTGTTCCAGCATAGGAGGTTCTTAACCTTGAGGGGCCAGAAAAAAAAAAAAAAAGCCATGGGCCAGGTCCCAGGTCCCCGTGGTTAGAGCATGCAGCTTAGGAGTGCTGAGTTGAGCCTGGGCCCCTTGAAATCATCCAGAAACAAATGCAGTTGTCTAAGCCCAATTTATACCACTGTGAAACCCTCAAGGGCATCAGAGAATATAAAAGCAAAGAGCCCTATCCAAAGAACAGCAGCTTCAAAGATTAAAGGAACATCAGCCCACACAGATGAGAAAGAACCAGTGAAAGAAATCTGACACATCCAAAAGCCAGAATATTTTAGCTTCAAGTGACCACACTGTCTCCCCAGCAATGTTCTTAATGAGTCTGAAATGATTGAAATGACAGACATAGAATTCAGAATCTGGCAACAGAGATCACCGAGATTCAGGAGAAACTCGAAAACCGAGTCCAAGGAATGTAGGAAATCCAATAAAATGATTCAAGATCTGAAAGATAAAATAACCGTTTTAAGAGAGAACCAAACTGATCTGTTAGAGCTGAAAAACTGCAAAAATTTCATAATGCAAGTAGAAGTATTAACATCAGAAGAGATTAAGCTGAGAAAAGAATCTCAGAGCTCAAAGACCAGTTCTTTGAATCAACCCAATCAGACAAAAATAATAATAAAAAAAAGAATTTTAAAAAAATGATGAAAACCTCCAAGAAATATGGGATTATATAAAGAGACCAAACGTACGGCCCACTGGAATCCTGGAAAAAGAGAGACCCAGCAACTTGTAAAACATATTTGAGGATATCATCCACAAAAATGTCCCCAACCTTGCTAGAGAGGTTGACATATAAATTCAGGAAATTCAGAGAACCCCAGCAAGATACTATACAAGATTACCATCCCCAAAACACATAGTCATTAGATTTTCTAAGGTTCACATGAAAGAAAAAATATTAAATACAGCTAAAAGGAAGAGGCAGGTCATGTACAAAGGGAACCCCATCAGGCTAACAGAAGAGCTTTTAGCAGAAATCAAATAAGTCAAAGACATTCGGGGCCTATATTTAGCATTCTTAAAGAAAACAAATTCCAGCCAAGAATTTCATACCCTGCCAAACTAAGCTTCATAAATGAAGGAGAAAGAAAATCCCTTTCAGACAAACAAAAACTAAAAAAATTCATCACCACCGGACCTGACTTATGAGAGATCTTTAAGGGAGTGCCAAACACAGAAGTGAAAGAATGTTACATGCCACCACAGAAAGGTGTTAAGTGGTTAAATATATAACCCACTGACATTATAAAGCAACTATACAATCAAGTCTACATAACAACCAGCTAACAACATAATGACAGGATCAAATTCTCACATCTCAATATTGACATATCAATAATGCTTTCACTGGCTGTCCCTTTTGTACAGAGTCCAGCATGAGACGCGGAGGAAACAGGGATGCTTAATATAGCCAGATGGGGCTGATGTAGCTCCTGAGTTAAAAATACATCTTTCTTTGGGACAGAAGGAACCACATAATTTACTCTAGTCCAGTTTGGTCCTAGCATCCAGGAAAGCAAAGATGCAATGTTCCGGAATACCCATATCAAAAAGTTAGAAAGATCTCAAATTAGCAACATAACATTACACCTAGAAGAATTAGAAAAACAAGAGCAAGTCAACCCCAAAGCTAGTGGAAGAAAACAAATAACCAAAATCAGAGCTGAAGTGAATAAAATTGAGATACGAAAATTCATACAAAAATCAACATACCCAAAAGCTGGCTCTTTGAAAGAACAGGTAAGATTGATAGATCACTAGCTAGTCTAGTAAAAAAGAGGGAACCAAAACCTTTCATCATTTAAGAGTTTTTGATTTCTCTTTCATGAAAGGTAAATTTACATACAGTGAAATACATAGATTTTATTTGCATAATTCAATCTGTTTTGATAAATACATAACCACATAATCACTATCCCAATGAAGACACAGAATATTCCCAGGACTGGCTGGGCGTGGTGGCTCACGCCTATAATCCCAGCACTTTGGGAGGCAGAGGCAGGTGGATCACAGAGTCAAGAGATCAAGACCATCCCGGCCAACATGGTGAAACCCCATCTCTACTAATTTATTCAAGCTGTTGCATGTATTATATATTGTTTGTTATTATATATTGATGAGTATTATGCCGTTACATGGAAACACCACAGTGTGGTTATTTGTTCACCTGTTGATGGGTATTTGAGTTGATACCACCTTTTGGCTATTATAAATAATGCTGCTAGAAGTGTTCCTGTCCAGGTCTTTATGTGGACTTTTGCTTTCACCCTTCTTGAGTGAGCACCTGGCAGCAGAATTGTTGGGCCATAGGGTTGATATAGTGTGTGAAACTGTCTACAAAACTGCCACTTTTTTTTTTTTTTCAAAATGGTCGTACTATTTGCATCTCCACGGGAAATATATGAGATTTCCAGTTCCTCCACATCCTCTCCATTTGGTGCACTCGAGCTTTGTAATTTTAGCCATTCCAGGAGATGTGGCAGGGCATCTCATGGTGACTTCAATTTTTATCTCCTGATGTCAGTGGTGTTCAAAACCTTTTCATGTACTCGCTGGAATTTGCATCTTTTCTCTTGTGGAATATATCATCAAGCCTTTTTGCCCATGATTGAAATTGGCACATGATTGACTGTCCAGGCACAGTGGCTCATGCCTCTAATTCCAGCACTTTGGGAGGCCGAGGTGGAAGGATTGCCTGACGCCAGGAGTTCAAGACCAACCTGGGCAGCATAATGAGCCCCTGCCTCTGTAAAACCAAAGTTAGCCAGGTGTGCTGCCACATGTCTGTAATCCCAGCTACTCGGGAGACTGAGGCAGGAGGGTCCCTCAAGCCTTTGTTTAGGCATATATTATAAATTACATGTATAAAATTCTCTCCCAGATGTGGCTTGCCTTTTCATTTCCTTAATCATATGTTTTGAGGAACAGGGATGTTTTCAATTTAGGTGAGGTCTCACTTATATACTTTCTTTCATACTTGACATTTTGAATGTGTTCTAAGCAATTATTGGATACCCATAGATATCGTCTAATTTTTCTTCTAGAGCACCACTGTTCAGGAGAAATAAAATGTAAGCCACATATGTAATGTTAATTTTTTTTAGAGCCACAACAAAAAAGCAACAAGAAACAGGTGAAATTACTTTCAATTTTTTATATATATATATATATATATATATATTTTTTTTTTTTTTTTTTTCTGAGATGGAGTCTCACTCTGTCGCCAAGTTGGAGTGCAGTGGCACGATCTTGGCTCACTGCAAGCTCCGTCTCCCGGGTTCACGCCATTCTCCTGCCTCAGCCTCCCAAGTAGCTGGGACTACAGGCACCTGCCACCTTGCCCATCTAATTTTTTGTATTTTTAGTAGAGATGGAGTTTCACTGTGTTAGCCAGGATGGTCTCAATCTCTTGACCTCGTGATCTGCCTGCCTTGGCCTCCCAAAGTGCTGGGATTACAGGCGTGAGCCACCACACCCAGTCTCAATAATATTTTATTTAACCTGATACATCCAAAGTAGCATCCTATCAACATGTAATCAATTTTAAATATTAATTAATTAGATTTTTATATTATTTTCTCACTAAATGTAGGACATTTCAAGTGCTCAGTAGCCACACGTGGCTAGTGGTTACCATATCGAACAGCACAGTCATACAAACATTATAGTCTCCACTTTTAGGTTTATGATTCGCTTCAGGCTAATTTTTTGTGTGTGATATGAGAAAGGGCTCAACACTCATTTTTACCAACCCTAATTTCACTTGTCCCACTAACATTTATCTTTTATTTATTTATTTTCAAGATGGGGTCTCACTCTGTTGCCAGGCTGGAGTGCGGTGGCACAATCTCGGCTCACTGCAACCTCCGCCTCTCGGGTTGAAGCAATTCTCCTGCTTCAGCCTCCCTAGTACCTGGGATTACAGGTATTAGACAATTTTTTTTTTTGTATTTTTTTGTAGAGATGGTGTTTCACCATGTTATCCAGGCTGGTCTCGAACTCCTGACCTCAAGTGATCCACCCACCTCTGCCTCCCAAAGTGCTGGGATTACAAGTGTGAGCCACCGCACCCGGCCACCCACCAACATTTATTAAAAGTCTTTCCTGTCCCAATTGAATAGACTTGATGCTATTCAATTGACTGTATATGTGTGGGTCTATTTGTAGACTGTATTCTAGTCCACATCACACTCTCTGTATTACTCTAATGTTAAAGTCTGACTTCTCTAAATGTGTTTCTTATCACAATGATTTGGTTATTCTAGGCCTTTATGTGTTTATATAAATTTTAGAAACAATTTATCAATCTATAACTATATGTGTGTGTATATATAAACTTATATTTATAATATACATACATATACACTCATATATACTTATATATACATACATATACACACATACATATATAATATATATACACACACATAGGAATTTTGACGGGGATTAGCTAAATCAATATGCAGACAACTGACAGTTTAACCATTTTTGTCTTCCAATTCATGAATGTGATATATTTCTTCCTTCATTTGGGCCTTCCTTAAGTCTCTCAAAAATGCTCTATATTTATCAGTACAGAAGCATTCCATGGTCTTTTAGTTCATTTGTGTTGCTATAGAGTAATATCTGAAGCTGGGTAGTTTACAAAGAAAAGGGGTTTATGCAGCTTCTGGCTGCAGTGAACGCCAAGAATGAAGTACTCAGACAATTCCAGCTGAGCGGGAGGCTGGGGCAGCATCTCTGAAAGCGTGCCGCCCCAGAATCCGTCCGCCAAGTATTTATTGAAAGGGCTTGTTAAACCAAAATGTCCACCAGATGGCCTTTTGCGGTCGGGTCAGGAGACACATATGGCCTTGCGAAGACACTCAGACTACATTCTCAGGAGGCTGTTTTCAGTGCTCCTTATCACACATTCCGTTCCTTTCCCTGTTTTCAGGGTCAAGGAGTCACAGTCTCATGCACAAACAACATACACACAGTGCCTCACTATTTTTCCATGCCTCGACCTCAAATGCCTTGTACATAAGCTTGAATAGGTTGCCGTGCACCCCCCAACAGTTTATTTGACTCACGGTTCTGCACCATGTGCTTGGCACCAGCCTTTGCTTCTGGTGAGGGTCTCGGGAAGCTTCCACTCCTGGTGGAAGGCAAAAGGAAGTCTGCAGGTGCAGACAATATGGCAAGAGAGGAAGTGTGGGCTGGGGAGGGGAGGTTCCAATGTCTTTTTAACAACCAGCTCTTGGAGAAACTCTCACAGGAAGTAACAGAGTGAGAACTCCTTCGTTACCTTGAAGACAGCATCAAGCCATTCATGAGGGATCCAATCCCAGGACCTGACCACCACCCATTTGGCCCCACCTCCAACGCTGGGCATCAAATATCAACAGGAGGTTTGGCAGGGCCTAACAAACCATATCCAAACCATAGCATAGGATTTTCTTTTTTTTTTTTTGAGACAGACTCTTGCTCTGTTGCCCAGGCTGGAGTGCAATGACAGGATCTCAGCTCACTGCAACCTCTGCCTCCTGGGTTCAAGCAATTCTCCTGCCTCAGCCTCCCAAGTAGCATGGACTACAGGCATACACCACCTCACCTGGCTAATTTTTGTGTTTTTAGTAGAGATGGGGTTTCACCATGTTGGCCAGGCTGGTCTTGAACTCCTGACCCAAAGAGATTCACCTGCCTCAGCCTCCCAAAGTGTTGGGATGACAGGCGTGAGCCACCACACCCAGCTCGCATATGATTTTTTTTTTTTTTTAAGTTTTTTGAGATGGAATCTTGCTCTGTCACCCAGGCTAGAGTGTGGTGGCACGATCTCAGCTCACTGCAAGCTCTGACTCCCGGGTCCACGCCATTCTCCTGCCTCAACCTTCAGAGTAGCTGGGACTACAGGTACCCGCCACCACACCCGGCTAATTTTTGTATATTTAGTAAAGACGGGGTTTCATCGTGTTAGCCAGGATGGTCTCGATCTCCTGACCTTGTGATCCGCCCACCTCGGCCTCCCAAAGAGCTGGGATTACAGGCGTGAGCCACCGTGCCCGGCCGTGATTTTAAAAAAATTGTTCCTTTGTACTTTATGGTTTTTTGATGCTGCCGTAAATGGGCAAGAGTCCAGATTTAGGGAAGTGTTAGTGCCTCCTCCAGTCCTTTCATTCCTTCTCATCAGGGCTACTGCCTAAAGTGACTGTTGTGAGATGTTCCTTTCCTCGTTCGGGTGCTGCACGTAGGTGAATTTTTTTGGATCATATTTAATTTGCCAGATGATCCTTTGACTCTTTGGAAACGTTTCTCATTCCCTGGGTCTGGCTTTAGAGGAGGGAGATCATGAGCTGCTGCTTCACTCTCTCCTTCAGCTCAACCCCGAAGTCCAATCCTTGAACTCCATTTTCAAAGACAGAGGCAGATGAAGGCCCAGGAGGAGGGCATTCTAGGAGGAGGGTCCCCAGTGTTCAAGGACTGAGGTATGAACCAACAGGACATGTTGCAAATGATTTGGAAAAGGCCAGAGGGACCAGTGGGTTAAGTGGTGAGGATGGAGGAGTGGACTGAGGTTGGAGAGTGATGTCATGAAGAGGATGTGATCGGAGGTTCAGGATCCAGGAGCCATGGATGGGCTGTGAGCAGCGCAGAGAGAGCTCAGTGTGTCCTAAAGACTCCCACTGGATTGTGCACAATACGTAGACTACAGAGAGCAAGGAGGCCTAGCAGTCACAAGGAGGGGAGATGAGGCCGAAGAGGTGGGCAGGATCCAGATGCTACCCAGACCTGATTTGCAGGCTGAGGTCATTTCCTGGAAAATTGCAGAATCACTATTTTGCAGGCAAGTGACAAAGACATATAGGTACCAGTTGCCACCAGAATCAGGAGAGGTTCCCAGCAGGACCTTTGTGTTCAAAGCACAGCGATTCATCAATGCTCAGCGTACACCTGTGCCAGGAGCTCTGCTGGGATGTGGCTCCTGGAATGATCACCACAACCTTGCAAGTAGGGCTTCTCATTCCTGTTTTCCAGAGCAGGAAACCAAGGTACAGAGAGGTAGGAATTTGTCTGTCTTTTAGTCAAAAAAATAAAAAGGACGGCACAGTGTGGATTCAGGTTGGCGATACTTTGACTCCAAAGCCTGTGTGCTTTTCACTATGTGCCTAGCTCATCACTTTGAGGGCTGTTAATTCTACAAGAACCAGCCTCTGACTTCTCCCATGCCTGGAGGGGCTGTGATCGCTCAATCAGGCTGAGTCTCTGCAGTTTCTCATTTGTGGATCTTGATCTCCGAGTACTCGGTGTTAGTGGCCTCCTGTCCCTTCAAGTCCCGAGGCTTCACCGTCTGGAAGCTGAGGGATGCATACTGGAGCTCTTCTTCCCCCACTGAGGAGCGGGCAGAAGCTGGGGGAGGCTGGTCTGGGGGACTGTCTTCTGCCCAGGGTTCAGTCAGTGATCCCTGAGACATGGGAGAGAGAAGGGAGTCAGAGCAGAACAGAGAGGCTGGGTGCAGTGACTCACGCCTGTAATCCCAGCACTTTACGAGGCTGAGGCGGGCGGATCACTTGAGGTCAGGAGTTCAAGAGCAGCCTGGCCAACTTAGTGAAACCCTGTCTCTACTAAAAATACAAAATTAGCCAAGTGTGGTGGTGGACACCTGTAATCTCAGCTACTCAGGAGACTGAGGCAGGCGAATCGCTTGAACCTAGGAGGTGGAGGTTGCAGTGAGCCAAGATTGCGCCACTGCACTACAGCCTGGGTGACAGAGCGAGACTCCATCTCAAAAAACAAAAACAAACAAACAAAAAAATGCACTTGAGGCAAGAGCCTCACTCACTTCACCCTTGTTCTTGCCCTAGTGGAGAGGTAGGTGCTTAAAAGGTCAGAATGTGGCCGGGCACGGTGGCTCACGCCTGTAATCCCAGCACTTGAGGAGGCTGAGGCGGGCGGACTACAAGGTCAGGAGATCGACACCATCCTGGCTAACACGGTGAAACCCTGTCTTTACTATAAATACCAAAAAATTAGCCAGACGTGGCGGCGGGTGCCTGTAGTCCCAGCCACTCCGGAGGCTAAGGCAGGAGAATGGCTTGAACCTGGGAGGCAGAGCTTGCAGTGAGCAGAGATCGTGCCACCGCACTCCAGCTTGGGCGACAGAGCAAGACTCCAACTCAAAAAAAAAAAAAAAAAAGGTCAAAATGTGCACTGCTGCAGGCTATAGAGTTTGGGATTTTTACTCTAGATCAGGGGTTGCCAAACTACAGTATTTGAGTTATATCCAGCCCACTCTTTATGTTTGTGAATAAAGTTTTATTGGCACACAGCCATATGCATTTCTTTACACAGGGTATATGGCTTCTTTCTCGCTACAACAGCAGATATGAGGAGCTGCAATGAGACTGTGTGGCCCATGAAGCCAAAAATAGTTTCTATCTGTCGCTTACAGATAATATTTGCTGGCTTCTGCCCTAGACGGTATCGAGGGGTCGGGGAACAGCTGTTCAAATGCAGAGGAACTGGACAATGATGCCTTCTGGACAGTCCCCCCAGTCAGGAAAGGAGAGGTGACAGGCAGGGAAGTGAGGGAGCAAAAGACAGAGATCCTCAGGCCTCAGCAATGAAGGGTCAGGATGGGGGTAGGGACAATGCAAGCTGTTCTTAGGGGAGGAAACCAACCAAACATTGTGAATTTGGGGCTACAGAGAAGAAAGGAAGAACAGAGAGGAGGTAACTTTGGCTATGCCCAGCTGATTAGTCCTGGGGGTCATCCTGTGGGAGGTGTCCAGGCTGGATGCTGGCTGTGGAGAGTCCACAGCACTCACCTGAGAGGCTGAGCCCCTGACGGCGTTTGCATCCTCTGTGCCCATATCCCCCACGCCCGCGACTGGCCTTGCTGATTTCTTCCTGCAGGACCTCACTCTGAGTGAAGAGACCAGACAGCCTTTCAGTGTGGTCAGATCGGGGTGCAGTGGGCAGACCAGGTACCCCCCATGTGTTTCCTATTAAGAGACTGCAGGGGTGACTGAGGTGGGAAAGCAGTGGTCCAGTCTTAGAGACCCCAAGGTTGAGAATAGAGACACTCTTCTCCTGGACAGTGGGTACCAAGGTTTGCCACAGACTCAAAGCTCCTCAAACACAGGCCCACATGGAATTCTCACCATGAACCTGTGACCTCCTTCTTGCCCCGAGCGCTTGACCCATCCGGGTCCCTCCAGCTCTGGCTTCAGGGATCCAGCTCCCAGCCCGCCCTTCCCCATCCGGGTCCCTCCAGCTCTGGCTTCAGGGATCCAGCTCCCAGCCCGCCCCTCCCCAGGGCTCTCCCTCCCTTTCTAAGGTCCATGCTCACACAACGAAGATGACGCAGAAGGACAGGAAGACCAGGGCTGTGGCTCCAGCTCCGACTGCCCCCTGAGTCACTCCTGATGTGGCTTTACCTGTTGACAGATTGGAGTTATTTTTGTGATGTATCACAGAGAATTGGGTCTCTTCTCCTCCTCCTCCCACTTCCTGTAGGGTCCTAGACGTCTATTTCCACTTCCCCTTCCCAGACACAAAGAACAGAAATGAGAGAGAGAAGGACATGGAGAGACTCTTCCTGAGGCCAGTGAGGCGTGCAAGTGCCAGCCATTCCTTTTTTTTTTTTTCTTTACGATGTTAATATTTTATCCATCAATGAATTTGTTTTGCATTCAATTTTTACTGTTTTTAAAAGATGATTGCATTGCTGTATGATTTCATTTGATTGCTAACTTGTTGGGCTTTTTCTTTTTTTTTTTAATTTGATGCTCAAGGCAAGTACCTCAGTTGTGTGACTCCAGTTCAGCCCTGCAAAGAAAGGCGCTTGTCTCCCTAAACACACCTGTCCAGGCCCCATCTTCTCCCCTCTGAGATCTACTCCTGCCCTCTCCCCACCCCACAACCCTTCCCTGACAGGAAGAGGACAGTGGTGCTGTGGGTCCCAGGAAAGTGCTCACAGCTGAGCACAGACCAGAGCGGGGCTCCTCTCTGAAGGGGGCCGCTCAGTGGTCACTGAGGGTGGAGAAGGTGTGCTCTCCTCCTCCAGCCCCTCCCCCGCACACCGGTGCACTCACTCTGCAGGGAGACGTTCAGGGAGACCTGCTGAGAGCCCAGAAGGTTCTGAGCTCTGCAGGTGAATTCCTCTTCATCCCTCAGGTGCACCCGAGGCAGCTCCAGCACCCCCGGGTTTGAGGGCTGTGAAGGGCACAGGGTCAGGCCTCCCCAGCTCAGGCTCAGCCTGGCAGGCGGATTGCTGTCGACTGCACAGACCAGGCGCAGAGACGGGCCCTCTGGGACTGAAACAGATGAGCCATTTCCCAGGACTGTGGATACTGTAGAAAAAGAGACAGAGGGTCAGAGAAGTACATAGATCTGGAGAAAAAGGAAGGATACAGAAAGAGACTGATGACAGCAACTGACACACAGACATAGACTGAAGTTCCAGACACATGCACTTCCACCACTCACTGTCGGGAATGTGAACACATAACGTAGCTACATTTTGCTTTTAGGAACTTAACCCACAGACTTAGATATTCCTGTGGAAGTAGATACAAGATTGTTCATTGCCGTGTTCCTGCCATAGGATAAAATGAGTGCCATGATCTTCCATTAGGAGATGCCACAAAATCAGAGTCCATCCGTGCAGCGGAATCACACACAGCCCTAGAGGGTGCGGACCGTCTCACTACGGACACCAAACCGCCTCTGATCCTCCAGGTGCACACACCAAGGCTCAGGGCAGCCTGGATGGACAGCGGCTGGTTCTGGGTAGGGGGCAGGCATCGGAGGACAGACTCTGCTCTGCAATTTGAATTTTTGCCCATGGGCATTTATCACCTGTCCAGAAGTACTTATATCAGAACTATCAGAAATAAACAGGTAAGGGTGGAGGTGTATTCAGGAGATGCATGAGAAGGAACCTCAGAGCCTGGCCCTGCTGTGTGAATGCCACCCTGTTCTTTTTTGAGGCCGAAGGGAGGTGTGTGTGTGGGGGGTCCAAGAGTGGTGATGGGAGGATGGGAACAGGCGGCCTTGGGGCCTAAGGACACAGAGGGGCCCTGAGTTCACCCACAAGGGCATCTCTGTTTCCCAAAGTGAGTTCAGGTTGAGGAATAACCCAGCCCCATCCTGACCTGAAGGCCCTGCACCTCCAGCCCCAGGGAGGGGGCTCCATCCTACCTGTGCCATTTCCTTGGAAGACAGTCATGGTCAAGTTCTGAGGGGGGTCTGGGACAGAAAGACATGGAGACCCGCATCACTGTGGGCTGGGAACACTGGCCCTGTCTGTCCCCAGGAGCCGCATAAACAGGGAAGACAGAGCCATTGTCCTCCTGACCCCACAACCAGCCCAGATTCCGGGACCCAGCACCCTGTGTCCAGGCTTGACGCTCACCCCATCAGGGACCCAGGCGTCTTGGCCCAGCACTCACAGGACACGTTGAGGTGGATGGTCTTGTTCGTGGTCACACTGGCCCCAGGGAAGGTCACCTGACAGGTGAGGCTGGTGCCGTGGTCCTGGGGCTGTGGGATGAGGGTGAGCACCGAGGAGCGGGTGGTGGAGGGGTCCAGGGGAGACACGGAGGTCCCCATCCAGGAGATCATAGGGGGTGTCCCCTGCTCACAGGCCCAGGGCACAGAGCAGGTCAGATTCTGGGGGCAGCCGGACTCTAGGGTGCCTGGGATGAGGATGCTGGGCCTGTGTGTCAGGGCTGGTGAAGAGAGGGGGACTCAGGATCAGGACGGAGGATCCATGGTGCAGCCCTGGGGGGAACTCAGGCTCTGGTCCAGCTCCTGCCCTGAGCCCAACTCACTTCACCCTCAGCCCTCTCCCGGGGCAGGGGCCCCATCCCAGCCTTTCCCTGCCGCCCCCGTGACCTTTCCCTGTGGCCTCTCCTGGAGCCCGTGCCTTACCTGTCACATGCACAGAGAGCAGGACATCCTTATAATTCCATTTTATCTTTCCTCTCTCCACACGAAAGAAGTACGTCCCTGCATCACTGCTTCTGGCGTCTCTGATGCTCAGGGTGCAATTCTTGGTCTGTGGGTCCCCAAGGAGGTGGAATCGGTCCCGAGTCTCCTCCCACACTGCCCGAGCTGGGTTGTTTGTGGCCACTAGAGCATCCCGGTCTGTACGGGCCCCTGCCCGGAACCAGTAGCCATGAACTGGGTCAGAGTAAGTCCAGCCATACCAGGGGTAGGAGAAGGAGCACAGCACATGGACACACAGGCCCTGCTGCACCGTCACAGACTCCTGCATCGTCAGTGGGTAATCCTTCTGGTTATTCCTCTGTCCCTCCACCCTCTCCCTCCCCCAGAGTAGGGGCAGCAGCAGCAGCAGCAGCAGCATGTCTGGGGTTGGAGGTGCCAGGGCCGCCAGGGAACGTCTGTTCCTCAGGGCTGTTCTCTCAGGAAGTGAGGGCTCAAGACTTACAGGAGGCCCCACAGGAAGACAGGGGTGAGGTCAGAACAGTGACCTCCCCCGAGGAGGAACTTCACACACAGACACTGTCAGGCCTGGGTCAGCCCTGGGAGATCCACCGTCCACTACCCCATGTTCACTCCTGGGCCCCTGAGGCCAGAGCAGGAGACAGACTCGCCCAGATTCCCACCCCATGCAGGGCCCACCCCACTTCCTGCCTGACTCTCAATGCTCTTCCCCTTAGGTGACATTTTCTGCAGGGTGAAAATGAGTGCCATCTGGCCAGACCCCTGAGTCACAGGCTGTGGATGTCTGTGTAGCTCAGAGGTGGGACTCGGGGCCATGAGAGACAGGGGTGCAGGTGGGGTGAGCAGGTAGCCTCTCATTCCCCCTGCCAGCAGGTACGAGGTGGGCACCCCCTTTCTGCACAATGAGGTCAACACAGCAGAGCCGGACACTGTCCCCAAGGAGTCACTGTGCAGAGGAGAGACACTGAGGCTCCTGACTTCTGAGCTGTCCATAGCAGGAGCTTCAGTGGGGGGCACAGGCAGGATGGATGGGGTCACTCTCCCCTAGGTCAGGGGTTCAGTCTCAGGGGGACCGAGCAGAGGGACACGGGGCTGTGGATGTGAGGATTTAGCCTGTTGATACACGCCAAGGACACAGAGGAGAGCCTGACTCGCAGGAGGTCTGGGAAACTGAGACTGTGATTGTTGTACTGTGGGGTTTGGAAGGGAGGAAATCCAGAAGGGAAGGGGCAGATTTCAAAAGGGAAGATACTTCTCCTTCCCTCACTGCTGTCTCAGCGCCACGAAGGATTTCTTCACCACCGATGTCTCGCTCAGCCACACTTCCCTGGTTACTCCAGAACACAAGGGGTCTGCCGGCCCCAGGGCTTTGCTTCTGCAGGCTCTGCTCCTGGGGGTCCAGGTGAACAGGAGATGTGGAGCGAGGACACCAGCCCTGGGGCGTCCACCCTCAGCGACGGGCAGGATTTCATGACAGAAGAAACGTGTCCCTGAATTCAACAGAAGATTTTTTGTAATTGTGTGGCTGGGCTGGGAGGAACTGGGAGTATCCTGTGTGGTGGAGCCTCCTTAGACCAATGTCAGTTTTCTAGAAATAGTTTTGGGAGAAATATAAGCCATATAGATAAAAATATCTTCTCCCTAAGAAAAAAAATCTCAGTCGTTTACACATATGAACACACTTAGAGAAACAGAACACTGGGGACACCGCAGCACCTCCCCTTTGTTACCCCACTTCCTGTCAGCCACACCCCCACTTTCTACTGAAGGAGCCCCAGCCTCACTTTAATGCTAATGGTCTCCAGGCTTTTCTTTTTTTTTTTTTTTTGTTTTTTTTTTTGTTTGAGAACAGATCTGGCTCAGTCGCCAGCTGCGGAAGTGCAAGTGGCCGCGCGATCTCAGCTCACTTGCAAACCTCCGCCTTCCTGGGTTACGCATTCTCTGACCTCAGCCTCCCGAGTAGCTGGGAAACTACACGGGCGACCCGCCACCCCGCCCGGCTAGTTTTTTTTGTATTTTCAGTAGAGGGAACAGGGTTTCATCGTGGTTAGCCAGGCAGGTCCCGATCCCTCCCTTGAACCCTTGGTGGAATCCAACCATCTCCGGCCTCCCACAAGTGCCTGGGGGGATACAGGCATGGAGCCGCGCCGCGCCCGGCCTTGGGTTCTCCCATGCTTTTCTATGTAGATTTTATCATCCTGGTGCATGTTGCCGGGAAGTAACTGGCCAGGCCCCCCCCATTTGCACAATCACCTCCCTCCAAGCGAAAGGGGGAAGTTCAGCATCTCGTGGCTCCAGGAAGGGCCGCGAGCCCAATTGGGACTGAAACAGTGATATCCTGCCAATCTTGGTCCTGCCAGGGCTTGGGTGTCCAACATCTTGAGTTCTGGCCTTTGAGCAGGAGGACGCTTTTCACGTCAGGCTCTCAGCTGGGCCTCCCCTGAAAGGCCCCCCTGGCGCCCTGCAGAGTCAACCAAGGGCCTCAGGAATTAAAGCATCGGCCACCCTTTCGAAATTCTAACCTCAAAGGGCGCCAACAAACGGACCAGCTCAGCCCCCACCTGGACTCCGGGGCCAATCCCCTCAAGCCTTCCCCCCTAGAAAAGGCAGGCCCTGCTCACCCTGAGTAGTAGCCCAGGTGAGGCCATGGGGGGTGGAGAGGGAAGCCAGTGCCCATGAGGGCGCCTGATCAGGTGAGAACCAGGGGCCAGGAGGCCTTTTCACTCACACATTTGCAACCAGAGGGGCTTCCTGGGAAAGGGTAGAAGAGTATGAGATTCTGTTCCCAGGCCTCCACCCCTCTGACAGCCCAAACACCCAACCAGGCTGCCTGCCCCAGCACCCATCCTGCAACTCACTCTACTCAGAGGCTCAGGGAAATGTGCTGAGATCGCAGTGGGTGATGAGCCCAACAGGTCAATTCTCCTCCATCCCCAGCCTCTATGTGAGGCAGCTCCAGGCCCCCGAGTGCTGAGAGCTGGGAGGAATTCGGTGTTCTTCCTTCTCAGGACCCGCTCAGCAGGGCAGGGTGGGGAGGCAGGCTGCTGTCAGCCACACAGACCACGGGGACTCTCCCTCCAGGACAGGCCGTGATGTGCCATTGTTCAGTGTCTTTGGGGCTGGATGAAAAAAGCAGAGAAAGCAGGAAGGGTGGTGCTGAGAGGTCAGTTTATCCCTTACCTCCCATTCAGAATTAAACAGAAGACACACGACGGTTTGACTCACGCTCTTTTTGTTTTTTTTTTTGAGACCGAGTCTTGCTCTGTCACCCAGGCTGGAGTGCAGTAGCGCAAATCTCGGCTCACTGCGATCTCTGCCTTCCAGGTTCAAGCAATTCTCCTGCCTCAGCCTCCTGAGTAGCAGGGATTACAGGCGTGTCCCACCATGCCAGGTTAACTTTTGTATTTTTAGTAGAGACGGGATTTCACCACGTTGGTCAGGCTGGTCTCGAACTCCTGACCTCGTGATCTGCCCGCCTTAGCTTCCCAAAGTGCTGGGATTACAGGCGTGAGCCACCAAGCCTGGCCCGGCTCATGCTCTTATATACACAAATCCCGGAGTCCACACTAGCTGACAGACCCTGAGGGAAGGAGGCTGAACTGATATTGGAAGGGGGAGCAGGTCATATTGACGCATGACGGATGGGTATCACAAGTGAAGGACGAGGGATGTGCAAAGGCTCTCAAACAGCCTGGCAGATGAAGGGACCTGCACATATATCTGGGGTCTTCCAAGGAGACATGGAGGTGTTGGGGCATGACCAGCTGAGGAGCTTGGACTGAGGGTGCCGAGGAGTCTCAGGGGTGGGCCAGGAAGGGGTGGGGCTAGTACTGAGTGCAGGAAGGTCTTTCTGGGCTTGTGCTGTCAGGGGCACAGCATGGAGGGAAGATAGGAAGCTGGGGAGGGGCATGGAGCAATGATCAAGACAGCAAAGGGGCTGGGTACAGTGGCTCACATCTGTAATCTCAGCACTTTGGGAGGCCGAGGCGGGTGGATCATCTGAGGTCAGGAGTTTGAGATCAGCCTGACCAACATGGTGAAACCCTGTCTCTATTAAAGGTACAAAAATTAGCCAGGCATGGTGGCACGTGCCTGTAATCCCAGCTACTTGGAAGGCTGAGGCAGGAGAATCACTTGAACCCAGGAGGCGGAGGTTGCAGTGAGCCAAGATCCTGCCACTGCACTCCAGCCTAGATGACAAGAGTGAAATTTCATCTTCAAAAAAAAAAAAAAGACAGCAAAGGACCTGGTCATGCCGATGGAGGGGAGGGGACTAAGCAAGGAGGGCATGATGGGAGACATTGTTCAGGAAGTGAAGTTACAGCGTGGGTGGAAAGGGTGACATTTGCAGGAAGTGCTGCATCCCAAATGGGGTAAATGGGGGAAGAGAGACGCCATGCATAAGACGAGGATCAAGGGGCAGAAAGTAGGGGAGGCATCGAGACAGAGCTCAAAGCCTCAGTTTTTTTGAGGACTTAGGTTTGGGGACCCGGGTCTCAAGGATATCAGATATCTGAGTCCTTAGACTCCTTGTGCCCCGGCATATGAGTCTCCGGGGACTTCAAGGCCCTTGGGCCTTGTGGGGAGGGTGGAGGCCTCCAGATCCCTGTATCTCTAGGGTGCAGACGGTAGTCTCCAGGTCTGCTGGTTCTCTCAGGTGCTTTGGTGCCAGGGGTCTGCGTATTTAACGCCCTTAGTCTCAAGGGCCTGAGTCTCTGAGCGTCTGGGCTCCTGGGTTAGGTGAGAAAGATCTTTGGATCCTTCTGTTTAGATGTTTAGAGTCTGGGTCTCCAGCACACGCATCACCACCGCCCACGCGTGCGCGCGGAGTTCCGCTCCAATCCTCGAAGTCTGCTCTGCGGATGCGCCATCTGCGCCTTTCACACTAGCGACCAACCCCTGTAGTTTCACCTTCAATTCCCACCCGCAACCCCGCCTCAAAGGGCAGAAATCATAGGCCCTATAATCCCCTTAAAATCCTATAATAATCCCACAAAACCAGTTAATTAGAATACAACTACTTCGCCCATCCAGCAACCTGCTGGTGACAGCGCGCTGCCATGACAACAGTACACGCGGCTCCGCAGCTCCCTGCGCCCGCGCGCAGGAGGAGAAAGTAAACAGAGGGTAGTGTACTTTGGGAGCAGCGGAAAGAGCAATGCAAGTGTTTCTGGGAGTTGTAGGCCAAGCGGGATCCCGGAGCCGCAGGCGCATCCAGCGGCCCTGTCGCATGGGCTTCTGGGAGTTCTAGGCAAGAAAGCCCCAAGACCTCATGGGAGTGGTAGTCTCTGAGTCACTTCCGTGCCAGGCTTCCGCGTGGTGGGCAGTGTGGGCGTCCCAGCACTGAGTTCTGCCCGGGTGAGTACTTCCTCCTGCGGTGGGTCAGCATGTGGACCCCGGCTCTTTGTTGCGGTGCCGTGGGAGGGTTGGGGGTCTCTACGAGCGTAAGACGCCTCTGATTTCCCAGGGCCTGTGTCCCTGAGGCCTTGTAGCCAGGATTCCCACTTTGGACGCTGCGGTCCGGCCTGTCTCTTACCGGGCCACCCCCTTCCCCAAGACAGGATAAGACCATCTGCTTGCCCCCGCCCCTATGTCCCTATATGCCTGTCCCCGCCCCCATGCCACACATTATCTGTCCTTTTGATAAGGCTGCAATCCAGAGGCATCCCTAGGGTCCGCGGCCGCTCTTCTGGGAGCATTTATTATTCCCTGATCCTACAGATATTTACTGAGCACCGACCCTGCGCAAGGCAGCGGGGGAGAGGGCACCAGACCAACCCTGTCCCTGCCTTGAAGAAGCAGAGAGGCAGACCTGTCACTAGTGAAGCTAGTCAGGATCAGGGCCCGTATGGAGCTGCATACGTGCAGTTCTGGGGGCCCTGGTGGAGGCGCTCGACTCAGTGACTGGGGTCCATAAAGTCTTTGAGGGAAGACGCTTAACATGCATGTCAAACCTGACGTGTCCAAATGGAATTACTGGTCTTCTCCCCTCACAAAATGGCCCCACCATCCCTCCAGTGCTCAGACCAGAACCTCAAAGTTACCTTTCATCACTTTCTCTCGTCATTGCCCCAGTCCCCAATCAGTCTTATACATGTCCTATGGGCTCCACCTTCAAAGTAGATCTGAAATTTCATTTCTTCCCACCTCTACTGCCACCACTCCTGTCTAGTGTGCTGAC